TGGGTGGCGATGGCGGTTGCCTAGTTTTCACTATTTTATGTTGTGGTGGGTGGCAGCAATGGTTGGGTTGTGCGGTAAGCTAACTTTTCCTATTTTGGGTGGTGTGTGGTGGTGGTGGACTATGGTGGTGGGTGGTGACGATGTTAGGTGGTTGGTTAATTTTTTTTTTACTGTTTTGAGTGGTGGATGGAGGTGGGTGACAGCGATGGTGGGTGGTGGTGATGACGATGGGTGGTGTTGGTGATGACAACGGGTGGTGTTGGTGGTTGGCAATGATGGTGGACGGTGGTGGCGATGGCAGTGTGTGGTGGTGGGCTAATTTTTCACTATTTTTGGGTGGCTAGTGGTGGTGGTTGGCAGCGATAATTGGTGGTGGGTGGCGGTGATGTTGGGTGGTGAGTTAGTTTTTTACTATTTTGGGTGGTGGACAGAGGGGGTTGGTGGTAGACTAGTTTTTTACTATTTTTGGTGGTTAGTGGTGATGGTGGACGACAATTATAGGTGGTGGTAGTGGTTGGTGGGTGATGGTGGATAGTTAGGCTAATTTTTCATTGTTTTGGGTGGTGGGTGGTGGTAGTTGACGGCGATGGCTGGTGATAGTCGTGTGTTGTGGGTAATGGTGGTGGGTGGTAGGTTGGTTTTTTACTATTTTTGTGGTGGTTGGCGTCAATTGTGGATGGTGGTGGTTGCGACAGTTGGTGGGTGGTGGTGAGTTTTGGGTATTAGTGGTTGGGGACGATGGTGAAGCAGATGGTGGTAGGCTAGTTTTTCACTATTTTTGGTGGTGGGTGATGTTGGTTGGCAGCGATGGTGGGTGGTGGTTTGTGGCAAGTGGCAAGTGGTGTTGGGTGTGGGTGGGGTGATGGGTAGTGCTGAGTGTGGGTGTTGGGTGTGGATGGGGTGACGAGTGGTGGGTGGTGGTTGGCAGGTAGTGATGGTTGACAGAGATGGGCGACGATGGTGGGTGCTAGTGGTTTACAGCGATGATAGGTGATGGTGGTGGTGGGTTAAGACATGTGAAAGTGGTGGCGATGGGTGATGGTGGTGGACAGGGGTGGTGGGTGGCAACGAGTAATTGTGGTGGTGGTGGATTTTGGGTGGTAGTTGTTGGCGGTGATAGGTGGTGGGAGACGGCTAGTAATGGTGGTGGTGGTGGAGGTGGTGGTGGGTGACAATGGGTAATAGTGGCATTAGTGGTGGTTGGTTGGCGGTTGTGGCGATAGGGTGTCGGTGGTCGGTGGTCGGTGGTGGGTGACAATAGTGGTGGTGGAAGGTAGGCGATGGTTGTGATAACGGGTGGTGGTGGTAGTGATGAGTGGCGGTTATTAATGGTGGTGGCGGTAGGTGATGGTGGTGGGCGGTGGTGGTGGTGGTCAAAGGTGACAAATGATAATGGCAACGGTGGGATGATGATGATAGTAATAATAAATATAAGGATGTGATAATGGTGGAGGTTTTTATCCTTCATTAAGGGTATTTTTGTTAAATTTTGAATTATAGATTTTTGGACTTGAAATCAATGTTATAGACCGATCGTCAAATCGATAGGGGGATCGGGTCAATAATTCACTTGTTCAACCGTTAGGTCAATTGGTCGGACTGGTCATTATAATAAAAAAAATAAAAAATTATAAAACATAATAGTTTAATTAAAAATATAAAATATGTCTACAATATATTATATATAATTTGCTATAAAATTAACAGCATAAACATAAAATCCTATAAAAAAAAAAAGTAACTAAAACCTTTGATAATGATGATATACCAGGCCTGTTTTTTTGCCATCTCAAGCAGTGTTTTAAAACCTGGCCTGGCCTGGCCTGGCCCGGCGGGTTGACCCGGTGAACCGGTCCCCTAACCGGATCGATTTTGTAATTGGACCGTTTGAGCAAATAACTCAGAATAAAATCGGTGAACCGGTAAAAACCGGACCGGGTTTACAAAACCGGACCGGGTTTACAAAACCGGTCGGTTTTGTTCCTTTAGTATAAATATATATATTTTTTATATTTTTGTGTCTTTTTCTTTTCCCCTTCTGTTTTGCCCTAAATCCTAAATCATTCGTTCAGTGTTTGTTAACTCAAAAATTAAGTGAATACAATTAAGTGATTCAAGTTTGAGGGTGGAGGCTGGGCTGTTAATTGAATACATTGGTTTATTAATTGAATACAATTAAATGATTCAGGCTTGATAACTTTGTTTAATTTAATATATATTAAACATGTTATTTTTATAACTATTTTAATTTTTTAGTCTATTTATCATCATTAATAATTATTTTTTATTTTTTTATTATATCACCGGTTCGACCAGTGACCCAATGATTGAACCAGAAATTCATTGACCCGGTCCCTTCTCCGATTGATGTCCGGGCCAGGTTTTAAAACTATGATCTCAAAGCAATGGCCTTCCGGAGGCAATGATATTTCTTTAAATTTAAAATCAATGACAGAAAACAAAATATAAGTGAACTGGTCTATGCGTGTGTGTTCAGTTCTGTCATCTGTGTCGCATGTGTGTGAGAGAGAGAGAGAAAAAAAAATAGAAGAGAAGACTTACAAGCAAAAGGGAGAGAGATCGAGTAGCTGGCTCGATTGCCTGAGCTGAGTCTTCTGCTACTGCTGCCTGTTGTTATGTTGCTGCAATTGTCTGTTGTTGTGTTGCTGCCATGCATTCAGAGAAGAGAAGACAGAAAAGGAAGGGCTCAATTTAGGGCAAAATTGCCCCAAAAATTTGATTTTAATTTTTTCTTGTCCCTTAAAATTTGAGCTACTCAGTTCAAACAACCGATCCAGTTCTCCGGTTTTTTATAAAACCGTTTGGTTTAGAGTTTCAAAGCAGGTTTGATTTAACTCAAGAACTAGACCGGCATATGGTCCGGTTCATGGACCAATCGATTTGATCCAATTCTGATAACACTGTCTAAAAAAACCAAAAAAATACTTGCATGTGGACCTCTCACCAAATTTTTATTTTTTATAGTGGGTTATATAATTAACCTCTTTTTAGTTTTTTTTTTTTTTTGCGTAGACATTGTATACTTGTTTTTAACCTATCTATGTTTAATCAATTTTTAAGTATTAAATATGATGTAAAAAATAAAAATGTATCACATTATTTTTGCCAATTATTAGAAGACAAAATAAAAATTATAGTTGCCCATTGCATTTATTTAGAACTACCAAATATGGGATCGGAGAAATTCCTATGTTTATCCAATATAATAAGCCCATTTATATGCAAATTGGATTGAACAGTCAAATCCAATCAAATGTGAACGGTGGTCGTTTTCCTTCAAAAATCAATTATACACACATCTTCTTGATTCCTAAGTGTCCTAATCCGGATAATATGACCCAGTTCCCTCCTATAAACTTATGTAATGTCCATTATAATCTAGTTGTCAAGGTATTGGCTAATAGGTTAAAATTATTTTTGAAATGGTTAATTACATTAGAGGTCTCAAAAGTATGAGATTTGTCTCATTTTGATCTTCAATATTCAATTGCATCATTTTAATTGTTAAAGTATTGAATATATTTATATGTGGTCTCTCAAGCAGTCAGTGTCCAGATTTTTAATAATTTTTTATTATAAACTTGTCACATAATACGTAAATATGGAAAAAAAATAATTTGAATAACTACTGACCAATTTTTTACCCAAATTTTGATCAAAGAATTACCCAAATTACACAGTTTTGATATTGAGCTATCCAAATTATGGTCAAGAACTATCCAAATTTTTTTCAAGAGCTATCCAAATTATTTTTTGCCCATATTTAGATATTACATGACAAGTTTATGATTAAATATCGTTACCAATTCGAATGTTGTCTACTTGAAGGATCACATAAAAATATATTCAATACTTCAAGAATCAAAATGATGCAATTGAACTATTAAGGATTAAAATAAGACAACTATAATTTAGGGACCTTCAAAGCATTGAAAATCAAAGTGCTTTTTATTACCGACAGACTAATAATGGGTAATGTACCGGTGGCCTTTGAATTAAACCACTATCAGAAATGTAAAAGCTGGGAAAAATCAAGACATATTTCCTTAAAACTAGATATGAGTAATGCCTATGATAGGGTGGAATGGGTGTTCTTAAAGGGAATGCTGAGTAAGCTTGGTTTTGACTATGGGTGAATATTCCTTGTTATGCAATGTGTGTCTATAGTGACCTTTTCACTCATGTTTAACGGTGGGCAAGTTGGTTTTTTCTCATCTGAGAGGGATATCCGTTAAGGAGACCCTCTATCACCTTATCGCTTTATTATTTGTGCAGAAGGGTTATCAGCGATGTTGAGAGCAGCTGAAAGGGATGGGAAAATTAACGGAGTGTCTATTGGTAGAGGATGCCGAAAGATTTCTCATTGTTCTTTGCAGATGATAGCTTATTATTTCTAAATGCCAAAGTCTAAGAAGCTAGAGCGGTGCAACAAATTCTCCAGGTTTATGAATCAGCTTTAGGCCAACAAATAAATATTGAGAAGTTGGCCATGGTGTGTAGCAAAAACAACACTGTAGAGAAGGCAGCAGAGATTCAAGAAATTTTAGGTGTTCAGCTAGTCCAGCAACATGATAAATATTTGGGTTTACCTACTATTATTGGTCAGTTAAAGAAGGATGTTTTCAGTAATATTTGGGAAAAAGTATGGAGTAACCTGCAAGGGTGAAAAAGGGCAATTTCTATCTTCAATTGGTAAAGAAGTACTGATAAAAGCTGTTTCACAATTTATTCCTACTTATGTGATGGGGTGTATTAAGTTTTCAGACTACTTGTGCACAGAACTTGAATCTTTGACCGCTAATTTTTTGTGGGGGCAGCTAAATGGAGAGAGGAAAATTCATTGGGTGAATTGGAAAAATATGTGTAAGAGTAAATCAAGAGGTGGAATGGGTTTTCGTGATCTTAAGGCTTTTAATCTCGCTTTATTATCAAAGCAAGTGTGGCGTATAATCCATGAAAGACATACTCTATTGCATAAGGTTATGAAAGCAAGACCATTAGCATCAATCATTGCGTCCTGGACACCTCCTAGAGCTGATCTGCAGAAGGTCAATTTTTGTGGGGATGTGGTTGTGGAAGGTCAGTTTGTGCGAGTTGGAGTTGCTATTAGGGGCAACAATGGGGTTTTCGTGGCGGGGATGGACAAAAAGTGTGAGTCCAGTGAGATGGGAATGGGCGTGGAAGCCATTGCTAATGAAGGAAGCCTTGCGGTTTGCTCGAGTTCAAGGATTGTGGTCGGTCGTCTTGGCATGTAAAATCACAAAAAGTGCAGCAACATGGCATTGGTTTTGAGAATCAAATTGCTTTCGATTAAAGCTTAGAAGAATCAGATGAAACACAAGTCAAAGAGTTGTTGAGTGTACATTGACCCTTAATTTAGTTTGTAGTTGGGTGAAATTTTTCACCGTCTTTTACTCTCTTTGTCCTGTAAAACTGGAATTCAACCGAGCGAATAGTACATAAAATTATATATATATATATATATATATATATATATATATATATATATCACACATGTGAATGTGACATCCGAATATGAAATTAAAGTTAATCTAAATTAAAAATAATAATTTGACTAAACTAGTTTTCCAACCTTATAGAAGTGATAATTATTAAGGATTATTGTATTGTAGAGTGTGGACTAGTAACAAATAACTCAAATTGAAACATAATCGACTATATAGAATTTTAATCTTACCCATCGACAGAACCTTGTCATGAATCCAAAACCATAAGAACTCGAAAATAAGACAAAATATGTGACTTATTTTTTTTTTCTTAATCATCTGATCTTGATACTGTGTGGGTTGTTTCATAATCGAATGGTTTTTAAGGAATCCTCATGTACGGCAAATTTGATTAAGAAAAAAATACTAATGGTACATTTTTTATTTATATTTTTTTATATTAGTACGAGATGAATACAGTGACACGATACGAAAATAAGACTTAAAATCGACACGAAATTAGTGGATTAGAGTTGTGGTTATTTCTCGATATGATACCACCCGTTAACACGAATAATAAATGGATTTGATTTTTTTTCACTATTGAATGGGTTGAATTATATCAAACATGAACAACATGAAATTGACACCATTAACACATTTAACTAGTATTATAAGAATAAAATATCAATTTTTATTATATTTTATCAAGTAGTGACCAAATTCTTATACAAAAAAAAATATTTTTACTTTTTTTTTTTGGTTAAGTTAATTTTTAATTTATAATAAAAAAATATGAGCATATGTTTGATTAAGTGATAATAAAACTTTAAACATAAAAGTAGGTGGCAATTATATACATATATACACATACACGAACGCGACAAAAAAATAAATAGGTTATACGACACGACATGGTTAGTTGAACAAATTGATTTAAGATTGATTAATATTCGGCACAAACCCAAAATAACATGACATGAACATGATACAATTATCAACCCGAGCAATGTTACATGAATTTAAAAAGTTGACTTAAAAATTATATTTGATAATTATAATCATTGATTTTACTGTGTGTGTCAGTATTTATTAAAACCCACTATTTATTCAATAATTGAGATTATTAAATCTAATTTTTAAATTTAATTTTTAAATCTCCCTGCACAAACACAATACAATCTTAACATGATACCACGTCAGTACGAGGTAATAAGGCTAAATTGCCTAACCATCCGGAACATGATCAACATGGTGGGTCCATTTTGAGGAGAAATTAGCCGTGTTTGGTGTCTATGGACATAGAGTAACGTCAAACTCAATGACACTGCAACTTCTAGTCTATTTCCTTTGTGGAAGCTCTGCTAAACCGTGTAGGTAGAACGCAGTGACGTTTCAAACACCCTTTTTCTTCCTTTTTCCAAGCTCTTCAACTACGTCACTCCTATCAGACTTGACTATCAGACTTGTCTGATATTGATCATTCCAAACTGCATCACGCGTCCCACCTACAACTATATATATACAGCTCTTTGATCATTGTGTTCATATATGCAGGTAGCACTAATCAATTAAAGCTTATATTCTTGGAGATTCATATATTTATATTTGTATATTTTTACTATAATTCTTCTCTGTACATAGATTTTTATTTTTCCTTGGCCTTCTGTTCTGTCACATTCCTAGTCACTTATCTCATGAATAAATGCACTGATTATGAGCGTATATTCAATCGTTTTGACGAAGATGGAGATGGAAAAATTTCTACATTGGAACTTCAACGTTGTGTTGGGTCAATAGGCAGCAAATTGGCGCTAGAAGACGTGAAATTGGTGGTTGACTCACTATGCTCGGACCAAGGTGGATTATTGGGGTTGGATGGGTTCGTGGGTTTGATGGAGAGCAAGGACGAAGAAGAGAAGATGGAGGACTTGAGGAAAACCTTTGGTATGTATGAAATGGAGGGGTGTGAGTGTATTACACCAAAGAGCCTGAAGAGGATGCTTAGTAGATTGGGTGAGTCAAGGAGTGTTGATGAATGTGTTGTCATGATTAATCAGTTTGATCTCAATGGGGATGGTGTCCTTAGCTTTGATGAGTTTGAGCTCATGATGCTTGGGTGAGTCTTGTGCAAGTTTGTATTTGGATGAAATTTCAATTTATTCATTTATTTTTCTCTTTATTGTAATCCAAAATAGATGAAGGCAACCATCAAATTGGTGTGTTTATTATCCCTTTTTCTTTAACTATGATTTTATTTAGATTTAATTTTTTGAGTAATTTATTACAACTATTGAGATTCATTGTTAATAATTACGAGTTCTAATAAATATTGAAATTCATTGTCAATCTGATGAGAATGACTAATTAAGTCAAAAAATAAATTTAACAAAATAAGTCCAACAAACATTGCTCTTTCTTTAAATATTAGTGATAAATGGGTTAAAAAATTGTTATATCGTATACATAATAGCGTTATTATATGTTTACTTTCGCTCAATAATACATTATCTATTATAAATTTAAGTGAGATATATTATTTATTGATAGATCCCCTTTCACTCATATGTGATGAGTGATACATTCTCGAGCAAAATTGAGTAAAAATATGATGCCTTGTGCTCATCTCTATTCTTTTATTCTAACAATTTATATAATAAAACAGGAGTATGTTTGAATTTTATTTCAGTCATATTTTTTTCCTCAAAATTATCATCAATTACTTATCTCACCCATCATCAATTTGTCAAATTTAAACGTCAAATCACATCACTCATTTCAATCATATATTTAATCATTTATATATTTCTTCCCTAAAAATATTACACCACTCATTTATATCATATGTTTAATTATTTAATATTTAATTAATTTGTAATTAATATATTTTGAAAAAATTTAATATAATAGGATCAATTTTTTAGACACTCGAATTTTATATTTTATCGTGTCTTCAGGCACAGGTTATGACTAGTAAACTGATATGTCAGAAAATCAATTTCATTGAGTTATTAAAATAATGCAATCTTAATGTTTAAACAAAAACATTTGAAGTTTGGAATTCGGCTCAAGTATTCATCTGTCTGTTTTATTTTTTAACTTGTTCAGGCTAGCTCAAATATTAGTTATCGTAGTTCGAACGAATTTAGAATATATTTCTTAAATTGAAAAATAAGGGTGACCAACTTTAAGAATATAAAAAATATTGAGACTGAGATCTTTAAGTTACCATAGGAACCAAGGTGTACCTGTACTTGTGTACCTTGTTGAGTTCTTATCAGCTCCCAGTTTGACACCTACGTTCAAATATCCATAATACTTGTTTGGATGAATTTTGGAATGGGGTTTAGATTGATTTTTTTAAATCTTTTTTTACAAAGATGAAATTCAACATTTAATTCGATTCATATTTATGTTTGGTATGAAACACATACACTAATAAGACTCACAGATATATCATAATTATTAACAGTATTTGTTATGTAAATAACTATTTTACCCTTAATCAAACTAATTCATATTCATGTTCAGAGGTACGATTATCTTTTGCATCATTAACTCTTTACTCATCTTCCCAAAATCACCCTTCTTTTAAGTTTGACGAAACTCATGATCATGTATTTAATCTTCAGTAAGCTACGGGCCGAGCTTGGGAACTCGGGACTAAACTTTCAATCCAAATAAGATATTTGAGGATCCTTTGAACTATTTTCCTCAAACACATGTCATACCCTTTTACCAAAAAACCCGTTATATCAATGGTTTGTTGACCCTTCGGTGACTCTCTCTGATACAGCCTTTGATGCCTTATACAATGACGTTTTAGGCTTAAAATTAAACTCAAATAACTCTTTCGTCGTCAAATATTAAGGGAAATTAGGCAGTAATATCTTGCATTTCGGAGTGCGATCAGTTTAGGTTATGACGCAACCTCATTTGCAACTTAGTCTTGAAGCCCTAAATTCTGCAGCTGAATTTAGTCTTGCTTGCCAATAACTCTCACCGTTCTGAAATTGGATGTTATTCAGTGGCTTTTGTGTGATCAAATAATGTTAACTACAAAGCTTATTGTGGAAGCCATATCTTCAGTCTTAATCAAAATCTTCTATTGATTACAACATTTGTTCGAGTGTAATGATTTGTTGTTTGTTTGGGGAATTTTTTGTTTCATCATCTGTGGTTTGGGTATTCAAATTATGGGAATTTTGAATAGTTTGGGTAACCAAAGTATGAGAATTTTCAATTTCCATCACCGATTCGCCTTACTTTTCATAGACACTAAAATATGTTGATTTTCGACCATTTATGTGGAAACCAAACGAAATTTGGATTTTAATCTGAACAATGAGGTGATGATTTTGCGAATTTTTTTTTTTTTTTGTATATTACTCTATAACAGAACTACATGACAGTTATTATACTAGCCAAAACCAAAGTACTACCCTTATTAAGGCCTTTCTAGTGCTCAACTTCGTATTACTTCACCCACAACCTTCGGACATTTAAGACTTTACTGCCATCACCACAACATGTGAAAAACAACAGTGACGCCAAAGACTCAAACGAAAAAACATATGCTAAAAAACAGTGGCTAGATATTCAGTGGCAGATATTAGTTCATCTTCCCTTCCAATCCTGTGACCTTATTTCTTTCAAGCCCCATCACCCTTTTGCAAAAAGTGAAGATCCACGACAATTATTGGAAAGCAACAATTAAGAGGCTGAGAAAGATATAAAACAAAAGTCAGAAAATGTTTTCTGAACTCTAATTTTGTTCGCCTATGCAGGAGAACTCTTCTCACTCCCCACCATTTTTCGTACACAAGCCACATTCAACGCAATGACCTGAAAGAGCCAATCTTTCACACTGTCGAGAAATCGGAAGTAGGCATTTCTCCACGACTTCTTTATCACCAAACTACCACAAACGGCCCAAAATCCCGCAATAAATCCCAATACTGTACTAACACAGAACCACAACGCTTCATACTTGTCTTCATCATCTTCATCTTCATGGTCATGATCTTTGGCCTGACCTTGGTCTTCACCATTCCTTTCATTAGGCATGAGACATTTGATTGATAAAGGATCTCCACAGAGTTTTGGGTTACCCTCATAAATGGATGGATCATTGAAGGTAAGGAACTGGTTGGTTGATGGAATTGGTCCGGACAAATCATTATGAGACAAGTTCAAATGGCTTAATGAGGTTATAGAAGACATGCTTGAAGGAATTGAGCCAGAAAGATGGTTGCACGAGAGATCAAGAGTTTCCAATTTCTGTAAACCTCCAATATTCTCTGGTATCTTTCCTGTCAATTGGTTCCGGGACAAATTCAAGGTACCTAGAGATGAAAGATTTGTAATCTCATCCGGAATCTCTCCCCATAGGCTATTGCTCGATAAGTCAATGACATTCACAAGCTCAAGCGTGAAGGTATATTTCATTTGTCTTCCCTTCACAACCAAGTCTAGCTGAGGTGTATATGTAGAATGAGCAGGTCGAAGTTGTGGACTATAGGATTGTGATGAACTCAGGTCACTCAAATTGCCCAGACATGGTGGAATGGTTCCTGATAAATTATTAAGTGCGAGATCTAAGACGTGGAGATGTGAAAGCCGACACAGTTGGTCGGGAATACTTCCTGTGAACATGTTAGCCCTCATACGCAATTCTGATTGTGATACAAGGCTTTCTCCAATCCACTTTGGTACAAGGCTTTCTCCAATCCTACATCGAGTAGTGTCAGGGCCGTGCAATTTTTTAGTGAAATAGAGAGTTCTCCAGAAAGACTATTTTCACTCAATTTCAAGTATGAAAGCAAGGGCAGTGAGCACATTGTATTGGGAATGTTACCGGATAGATTGTTCTGGGATAAATCTATTGCTTTGAGTTCTTGCATAACCCTCCACTGGTCATGAATTCTTCCTGATAATTCGTTGTTTGATAGATCCAGTCTTGATAAAAACTTCATCTTGCCTATGGACAATGGAATGCTATCATTAAGAAAATTGCCAGAAAGAAAAATGTATCGCAGTGATGTCTGTGCGTGCAAGATCCTGCACAATATAAAAAACGAGAACAGATCTCTCCCTTGGTGAACTCGAGTGAGCCGGTTGAGTGACCAAACACGCTGCTTGGAACAGCCTGCAAGGTACGGTGGTAACCTGGAACGGCAATGGGAGATCCTGGGAACGGAAGAACGATCCAGTAAGGCTGAAAGAGGTTCCTGGAACAAAAAAGAACAAGTTAGAAGGGCGCCGGAGTGTTTTTCGGCGTATCCCCTCCGACGATCTAGTCAGTCTTTGAGAAAGAGAGAGGAAAGAGAAAACACTGAGAATGTATTGTAGTAAAGAGTTTGTTGTTGCATACCCGTCTTGCCTTTTGCAAGGAGTATTTATACCTCAAAAGCTCATGATTGCTGTCAGTGTAGTCAGTAGGTGATCATTAGGTACAGGCAGTGTGCGCACTGATTCTGATGAGGAATGTCTTCTCTTCTTAAATGCTCGGGGTCCCGAGCAATCAATGCTTTGTCATCGGGATGCCGACGGTACAATGTGCTCCTCTCGGGGAGGATGCAATAAATGCTCTGTAATAGGAGCATTTATTGCCTTTCATTTCCGAGTCTTACCGCATTGAATGCGGTCTCATCAAGGGAATGGTGCAATTAATTGTTTGCTTTTCCAAGTCGCGTGTCAGCAACGACATGCGTTTTCTCTGTTTCGATGTGATATCATTTGCCACGCGTCCATCTCTTAATGGCTGTGAACCCTGCATTCCAGTACGTTCTGACACTAATTGTGTAAGACGAGGTCATGATGAATAGCCTAGACTAGCCTAGGCTAATGACCTGTACGTCAATAGCTTATCTTGGAGCAGAGGGAGCGTCCAGGACGGGGTACCTCTCGGCACCGAGGAAAGGCTCATCTCGGGGACCGAGGGAGGTATGCCGACCGAGGTACATATCAAATCGAGGACACGTGTCGGTTGTAAAACATATTGAATGCATGATCCTATATGACGAGTACCTCGGGGGCGAGGACCTTTTGGCGCCGATGGTGCTTGATCTTAGCAACTGTGTTTTAGTAAACACCGAGGACACGTGTCATCATCATGGAGTATCTCAGAAAAGTCCCATCAACTGCCCCCCAGCCTTCGATCTTCTGACACCGAGGACACGCGTCGTAAGGAGACGAAGGGTTTTCCAACTACCACCAGTACTTCATCATTGCCTCGAGCCGCTTTCCCCGGCTTGGGATGTCGTGCGCATTAAATGCGTCGTTTCGTTTTTCGCGCCCAATGATGAAAATTGCCTCTATATAAAGGGGGCTCCTCTTCCGGTTACCTTGTTTTGCCATTCCGAACTTCCTCAAGAGAGCCTCTTCTTGAATCTTCGCCGGAGATTTGTTTCTTCTTCCATTGTCGATTGCCCATTCTTCCTTAAAATCTTAAAGCCAGCAGACCCATCATTGTTTCTGAACTTTCTGGAAGGAGTCGCTTTAAGGTTTTCCAGAAAAAACTCTGTTTTGACATTCGGGTGAGTTTCAGAATCCTCCTTCTTTTCTTCTTCCTAACCTTTTGTTTTCCGATTGACTGGAGGTGTCTCCGGTTGATTCATAGCGATTTAACCCTCGGGAAACTTCCTCAGGGATTTTCAAGAACAAATACCCTCTTCTTTCTTACTTTTTTAGAGATGCCTCGTCGTCGCCCTGCTCCCGAGAATCCTCAGGCTGGTCCTTCGGGGTCGGGGAAATATAAAGTAAAGGGTGGTGAGCAGATTGATAGGTTTAAGGTCAAGTACGACATTCCCCCATGCGTAGACGTAGAGGATTGTGACCCTGAGTTACACTCTTCTACCCTCGGGGCCGAGGATGCCATGTCCTTTTATACCAAGGCCATAATAGAGGGAGGAATTAGGTTTCCTTTATCCCCCTTACTTCTTCAGTTCCTTTCTCACTTTCGCTTCTTCCCCGGGCAATGTTGCCTTAATGTTTTTCGAATAATTATGGGGGTCTTAGAGCTCAATAGGCACCTCGGGGTAAATATTGGGCTCAACGATCTCCTTTTTTGTTATTCCCTCCTGAGAGTCATGTCTCACCAACACTTCTACCTCAAAGCCAGGGACCCCTCCATGTACCTTGTAACTCATTTTCCCGACTCCGACAAGGGGTACAAGGATGATATTCTTATCTTCAAGGGATCTTGGCAGAGAGGTGTTGGTCCCGAGTATAATGACTTGTTATGCCCTCTGGAATGGAGAATGACAAGTACGTCGGTTCCTTTGGGTTTATTATTTCTTTCTCCAAACTTCCCATGTTCATGACTATTTTGTTTGTGCAGATATTCCTGCTCGGGAAACAGCTCCTCCCCCTCGGTCGCTGGTGAACTTTGCCGACCTAATCACGGTTTGGAGATTCACGGGTGACAACGGGTTTGGCCGTGCTGCTCACATCCTGCTGAATTATACCCCCGGGTATAAGAAATTTTCACAGCTTCCTCAGCCTTTTGAGCCTTCGCGGTGGTCTGAACTCTTCGATCAAGCGGCGAGGCTAGAGGTTGAGGAAAACTTGGAGGAAGACCCGGATCGGGCTTCGGAGGCAGAGGTAGAGGGAGTTGCTGAAGAGCTCGGGGTCAGAGAGATCGTTGTTCCTTCGGACGCCGAGGTGGGGACTTCGGGAGGAGACTTGTGGCCAGACTTCCAAGTCCTACAATCTTTAGACGCCGAGGACGCCCTCGAGGTAGCGATGTCCAGCACCCCTCGCATTGATTTGGGGTTCCTGAGGCAGAGGCAAGCCCTCGCAGCCGGGAGGGGTCGAGGATCGACCGGCGGCACCCCCTCTGTAGGGACCAGTTCCACCCCATCCTCAAGGGTTCTCGGTCGGGGTCAGGTGCAAGACTGGGATCCTCAAGTGGAGGAGGAGAGAAGGGTCAAACATCGGCATGATGGCCTCGGCCGAGGATTCAGGGCACCTTCCGCTCAGCAGCAAAGCGGGAGAGGTCGTGGGTTACCCCCTGCTCCTCCACAACAGTAGCAGCAGCAACAGCCACGACAACAACAACAACAACAGCAGCAGACTCCCCATTCCCTTCCGCCTACAGTGGAGGCCGCGGAGTGGAATCCCCGAGCCACTGATCACATGAACCGAGTGATCAGGGTTGATGATTTCATTTTGCTGGATCCTCATGTCGCCAATGCAGTGAGTGAGACATTGCATTTCGAGGCTGACATGGCGGCTCATAGGGGGCGATCAACCAACGTGTTGTTCCGCTCCATCATCCAGAATTCCCTGGTGGTGAGTTCATTTTTGCTTTGGTTCCTTCTCTCTTGCTTTCCATTTTTGTGACACTTTTTTCCCTCCTTTGCAGGCTACCCAGCAGATATCCATAATAGCTGCCCGGTACCACGGGTCTAGGATGGACCTCCAGAGGGCCCGAGAGCAGAAGGAGGAGGCGAGGGGGCCCTCGCCCGAGCAATGGAGGATGTAGCTGCCAAGGACTCTACCCTTGCGGGGCAGGCTGCTCAAATCGAGCAACTCCTCAAGGATGCTGAGTCGGCTAAGGTTGGCGCTGAAAAGCTAAGTGCTGCCCTTGCCGATGCTGAGGGGAGGATAACCGAGCAGACGCGGCGGCTTTCTGCTGCGGAGGAGAGGGCGGTAGGCTCAGAAGAAAGCTGTCTGGCTCTCACCCAGGAGCTTGACAGGATCAGAGCCGAGGCACTTAATAGAAAATCGGATGAGCAACTTCGGGAAGAGTTCGCCGATGACGTGCTCCCTACTCTTGAGGAAAACAGCAAGGAGTTCTTCAAGAAATGGTGGGACGAGGCGCTCCAGTCTGCTGGAATCCCGACAGACTCCCCGTTCTTCCAAATGCACAAGTACGTGCCCTCGGCAGAGATGGCACGGGCCGAGGCAGAGATTGTTGCCGAGGAGGAGGTCCCAACGCCGGTGCAAGTCTCGGCAGATCCCCCGAGGCAGTGATAGTGAATTTGTCCGAGGACGCCCCGTCGGACCATGCTCCTGATCCTCAAGTTGCCCAAGTTCTCCCTGTTGCCGAAGTACCTCTCCTGCCTGCTCCAGAAGCTTCTCAACCATTTTTTGCTGACTCGCCCTCGGCTGATGTTCTGGAGATGCCTGGAGCCAGATGATAGCCCCTTTTCTTTTTGATTGTACCCCTTTTATTTTCTTTTGTAGCCTTTGGGGACGCAAAGCCCCTTCTTCTTGAAATAAATCATGAGTATTTTTTTTTCTTTTCTGCGTACAGTAATTTTTTTTTTTTTGAACTGTCTTCGGGGCTGCTCGCCCATTCAAGAGGCATGCTCTTGTGTCTGCTTCGAGGACTGGAGTCCTTGAACTCTGTCCCCAGGGCCTTGCCCTTGCAGGAGGCTTGCTCCTGTATTGCTTCGGGGACAGGAGTCCTTGAACTCTGTCCCCAGGGCCTTGCCCTTGCAGGAGGCTTGCTCCTGTGTTTGCTTCGGGGACAGGAGTCCTTGAACTCTGTCCCCAGGGCCTTACCCTTGCAGGAGGCTTGCTCCTGTGTTTGCTTCGGGGACAGGAGTCCTTGAACTCTGTCCCCAGGGCCTTGCCCTTGCAGGAGGCTTGCTCCTGTGTTTGCTTCGGGGACAGGAGTCCTTGAACTCTGTCCCCAGGCCTTGCCCTTACAGGAGGCTTGCTCCTGTGTTCTTGCTGAACTCTGGGGCCTTACCTTGCAGGAGGCTTGCCCTTGTTTGCTTC